TGAAATATTTTCATCAAACTGATTAACATAACCTTCATGTCATTTTCTTCGTTATCATATTAAGACATTTATATTCTACTTTTAGAAAGATTCACTTGTACCCTTGTAACATAAACCACAGAGGTGATTCCACCTATCACCCTCCCTTCACCCATCTATCCCCCCTCCCCTCCCTTCCTCCTTTCCCCTTCCCATATTCTTAAGCAATAATTAGGTTATGGCTTTCTTTTTTCTTTTTTTTTTTTTAGTTGAAAAGTTCATTCGTAAAACTTTTATTCCACTTACATGAACTTAATACACATGTTCTTAACAATTATGCTTGGATTGTTCATGAAAATTTCATAAGACATTTAAACAAAGCTAGCCATCAGCTCAAGTTATTTCCCTGTTAACTATTTTTTATAGCACATGCATGTTAGGCAAGTATCAAAAAAAAATCACAAAAGCAAAAAACCTAAAAAAAGTTAAATACATGGGTTTTTTGTTTTACTGCTGTGCCTGATATACACAGAATAATGGAGATCAAGCAATTCTTTTTACTGCATCTTTTCTTTTACATTTGTTCTTAGGTTGCCTAAAACATTTAAATACAAATAAAATGAGTGTAGCAAAATAATGAAAGCAACAACAGGTGACTTTACCTGGAATGGAATGTGAACCGTTTTTGCCCTTATCCAGAGTAAACTGGGTCACAACTTAGTCTAGAGGAACACTTCTGCAGCTGTAGTCAAAGGCGTGCACCCTGAGACTGAGTGTTCCACAGACACACACAGTTTAACACGTAGTATCCATGAGACATCTGTTCCCACCACAGTCTGGTAAGTGCCCCAAACTTTAAAAGTACCCACAATAACTACACCCGTGACTGGAACCAATGATCCTTTCATTCCCCACCAGGACAAACCAATACATAGGCAGTTTTCTTTGCTCAGACATGGAAGCAGTTTTAACACTGGCCCTTGTGAAGCCACAATGTACTAAAAGTACCATGCCAAACATTTATAACTTGTATAAAAATTCCACATCCTCATATTGGCCACCTCAAGATGAAAACAGATAACTCCCTAAATGTTAACTGACTCTACTCCCCTAAGATTAAACATAAAAACCACATGGAAAATATAGAAATTCAAATAGAAGTAACATAAACCTGTCATAAATCATAAACAAAAAAAAAACTATTTGTGGGACAGCATGGATAACAAAATGGTCTCCTGTGTAAATTTTAGAATGAGGCAGATGAAAGTTGGAAGGCTGGTTACTTTTCCCCCTCCTTCTCCTGCTTCAGCTTCATCTGGTGTCCACAATGTCAAGTGGTCTCTCAGCAATTGCATTATTAGCGTGCTGTCTTTGTATGACTCTTCACATAATGTATCAAGTTCAGCAATGCTTCATCAAAAGTTGTCTTTGCAAGAGAGCAGGCTTTCTCTGGGGAGTTCAGAATCTCATACTAGAAGACAGAGAAGTTAAGGGCCAGGCCCAATCTGATAGGATGTGTTGGCTGCATTTCCTTTTTACTGATTTCAAAAGCTTCTTGGTATGCCTGTTGTGACTGATCCACAATTCCTTTCTTATCATCACCAGCAGCAACCTCAGCCAAGTAACGGTAGTAGTCTCCTTTCATTTTCAAATAGAAGACTTCGCTCTCTGCTTGTGAAGCATTGGGAATCAAGAACTTTTCCAAAAGGGACAGTACATCATTGCAGATATCTCTTAGCTCGGTCTCTATTTTCTCGAGCCATCTGCTGTTTTTTCTCGGCACCTTCCGTCTTTTGCTCAATACTTGAGACGACCCTCCAAGATGACCTGCAGGCTCCTACAACATTCTTATAAACAACTGAGAGAAGATTCCTCTCCTTGTAGGATAATTCAGCTCCTTGCTCAGTTACAGACTTCATGCAGGCTGCCATGTCATCATATCGCTCAGCCTGCTCAGCCAGTTTGGCCTTCTGAACCAGCTCATTTTTATCCATGACTGGATGCTCTGTGTCTGGAGTGGGTGGTGGCGGACGGATGGACGGTCAGGGGCTCATCAGTCTCTGGGTTATGAAAGCTATAAATTTGTTTCATAATAGGGATGAGTACATTGGATACTTTTTCTTCCATTCTTGAGATACTTTGCTAAGAAGAACATTTTCCAGCACTATCCATGTAAACATGAAGGAGGTAAAGTCTTCTTTATTTAGGGTTGCATAATATTCCATGGTGTACATATACCACAATTTATTGATCGATTTGTGGGTTGATGGGCACTTGGGCTTCTTCCATGACCTAGCAATTATGAATTAGGCTGCAATAAACATTCTGATACAAATATCTTTGTTTTAATGTGATTTTTGGTCTTCTGGATATATACCTAATAAAGGAATTGTAGGATCAAATGGCAGGTCCATTTTTAGTTCTCTAAATGTTCTCCAGACATCTTTCCAAAAGGAATGTATTAATTTGCATTCCCACCAGAGGGTGGGCAAGTATGGACATTTTAACAATGTTGATTCTTCCCAGCCATGAGCATAGTATGTTTTTCCATTTGTTAACATCTTCTGCTATTTCTTTCCTTAGAGTTTCATAGTTCTCTTTATAGAGATCTTTCACATCTTTTGTTAGATAAACTCCCAAATATTTCCTCTTCTTTGGCACTACTGTGAAAGGAATAGAGTCCTTGACTGTTTTTTCAGCTTGACTGTTGTTGGTATATATAAAGGCTATAGATTTATGAGTGTTGATTTTGTAACCTGAGATGCTGCTGTATTCTTTGACCACTTCTAAAAGTTTCGTAGTAGAATCCCTGGTGTTTTCCAGATATACAATCATATAATTTGTGAAGATTAAAAGTTATATCTCTTCTGACCTTATATGGATACACTTGATCACCTTTTCTTGCCTAATTGCAATGGCTAAGACTTCCATTACAATGTTAAAAAGCAGTGAAGACAATGGGCAACCTTGCCTGGTTCCTAATCTGAGTGGAAATGATTTCAATTTAACTCCATTCAAGACCATATTGGCTGTGGGTTTCCTGTAGGGACCCTCTATCAGTTTAATAAATGTTCCTTCTATACCAATTTTCTTAAGTGTTCTGATCATGAAAGGATGCTGGATATTATCAAAAGGTTTTTCTGCATCAATTGAGAGAATCATATGGTCTTTGTTTTTTAATTGTTTGTGTGATGTATTGTATTTATAGGTTTACATATATTGAACTAGCCTTGTGACCCTGGGATAAAACCCACTTGGTCATGGTGTATAATTTGTTTGATGTGTTTTTGGATTCTGTTTGCTAGGGTCTTGTTGAATATTTTAGCATTGATATTGTTTTATAATTTTCTTTTCTTGTTGGATCTTTTCCTGGTTTGGGGGTCAAGGTGATGTTTGCTTCATAGAATGTGTTGGGTAGTATTCCTTCTTTTTCTATATTTTGGAAAAGGTTGAGTAATATAGGTACTAATTCCTCTTTAAAGGTTTGGTAGAATTCCGATGTGAAGCCATCTCGTCCTGGGCTTTTCTTTCTAGGGAGATTTTGTGCAGTTGATGCTATTTCAGAACTTGATATATGCCTGTTCCACATTTCCACTTCATTCTTGCTAAGTTTAGGAGGATGGCATGCTTCCAAGTATTAGTCTATTTCCTTCAGATTTTTGTATTTCTGAGAATAGAGTTTTATGTAATATTCATTAAGGATTTTTTGAATTTCTGAATAGTCTGTTGTTATTTCATCTTTACCATTTCTGATTGATGAAATTAGAGATTTTACTCTTTTTTTCCTTGTTAGGTTAGCCAAAGGTTTATCTATTTTATTGACCTTTTTGAAAAAAAACTTTGTAATTTATTGATCTGTTGTATAACCCTTTGTTTTCAATTTTATTTAATTCTGCTCTAATTTTTGGTTATTTCTTTTCTTCTGCTGGGCTTGGAATTGGAATGACCTTCCTTTTCCAGTTGCTTAAGATGTCGCATTAAGTTCTTAACTTCCTCTCTTTCCATTTTCTTGAGGAAGGCTTGCAGTGCTATAAATTTCCCGCTTAGGACTGCCTTTGCGGTATCCCAAAGGTTCTGATAATTCATATCTTCATTGTCATTTCGTTCCAAAAATTTGGTAATTTCCTTCATAATCTTGTCTATGACCATGCTATCATTCAAAATAAGGTTATTTAGTTTCCATGTTTTTGTCTGAGTGTGCAGATTCCTGTTGTTACTGAGTTCAACTTTTATTTCATTATGGTCTGAGAAGATGCAAGGAATAACTTCTATTTTCTTTTTGCTGAGGTTAGACTTGTGACCTAAGATGTAATCAATTTTGGACTATGTTCCATGGGCTGATGAGATGAATGTGCATTCAGTTTTGTTAGGATGAAATGTTCTGTAGATGTCTGTTAAATCCAATTGTTGAATGGTTAAGTTTAAGTCTAAAATTTCTTTGCTTAGCTTCTTATTGGAGGATCTATCCAACATTGCCAAAGGAGTGTTAAAATCTCCGACTATTATGGTGCTGGAGGAAATCAAGTTGCTTATGTCTGTTAGAGTCTCTCTTATAAATTGAGCATTCTGGTTGGGTGCATAAATGTTAATAACTGAAATCTCATCATGTTGAGTGTTACCCTTAACAAGTATGAAGTGACCATCCTTATCTTTCCTTACTTTTGTTGGTTTAAAGCCTATTGTATCTGAAAATAAAATTGCAACACCTGCTTTTTTCTGATTGCCATTCACCTGAAATATAGATGACTATCCCTTCACCCTGAGTCTATATTTACTTTTTAAGGTAAGATGAGATTCTTGTATGCAGCAGTATCTGGCCTGAGTTTTTGTATACAGTCATACAACCTGTGCCTCTTTAGAGGACAATTTGTGCCATTCACATTAATTGTAAATATTGATGAGCCTGGTAGAATTTTGGCTATCAAGTTTTTCAAAAGTCCAGTGGACATTTTTAATCCTTTCACCACTGTGGAAGTTGAAATTTGATCAAACATTTCTGAGTGAGTTTACTTTTGTGGTGGAGGATTGCAGTGGTCATTATGGAGGATAGGTCTGAGAATATCCTGGAGAGCTGGTTTAGTTATGGCAAATTTCTTCAATATATGAATGTCATTAAAGTATTTAATTTCTCCATCATAAATGAAACTCAGTTTAGCTGGATAAAGGATCCTGGGTTGACAGTTATTTTCTTTTAGAAGATTAAAAGTCGATGAGCACCCTCTTCTAGCTTGAAAGGTTTCAGCAGAGAGATCAGCAGTCATTCTAATATTCTTCCCCTTGTAGGTTATGATTTTCTTACATCTGGCTGCTTGCCGAATTTTCTCCTTCATGTTAACTTTGGCATAGTTAGTTATAATGTGCCTAGGAGATGTCTTATTTGGGTTGAGTCATGCTGGGGTCCTGAAACTGTCTGCTATCTGAATTTCAGAATCTCTTGGCATGTCTGGGAAGTTCTCCTTTATTATCTCATGAAGTAGAGCATCTGTGCCTTTCAAAGCAACCTGGTCACCTTTAGGAATTCCTGTAAGGCGAATATTAGTTTTCTTTGAATTATCTCAGAGCTCACTGAGAAAATAATCCATTTTTGCTCTCCAATTCTATTCCTCTTTGAGCATTTGGGAGTGTTCAAAAGCTTTGTCTCCAATGTCATAAATCCTTTCTTCTGCCTGCTCCATTCTATTCCTGAGGGATTCTACTGTGTTTCTCAGATCTTTGAGGGATGCAAGTTCTTGTCTCAATGTATCAAAATCTTTGGTGATTTTGTCTTTGAATTCATTGAATTCTTGAGACAACTTTTGAAGTACTCCTTGAGTTTATAATTCCAATTTTATCTCCAATCTATTAATCTTATTTGTGATCCAAACTCTGAATTTGATTTCTGACATCTCAGCCATTTGTTTATGAATGGAGTCTTTTGTTGTGTGCGCCATGTTGTTCCTTGAGGGAGTTGATCTACTCTGCTTATTCATATTCCTGGAGTTTTTCTGCTTATTCTGCCATTTGGCTACATGAGTAGATAAGGTGAAGTTGGGTTGTGGGCTCCTGGAGTAGTGATTAACCAGCCCTTTGCCCAGGATCTGGGACTGGTGTCTGTACCTTTTCCCCTAGAGTTTTGCAAAGGACCAGGACAGTGCTACAGCCTGAGACACTAGGGACTTGCTTGGTGTTGTGGGGCTAAGTGGCTCTGTCTTGTTTTCAGCTGGTCTCTATCCTACCCTAGTGAATCAGTTACTCTGGGTAGAAGTCTCAGCTGTGGAGAAATACCAGCAATTGAGTCACCCCGCCTCCACAGGCAACAACTGGAAAACCTTCCCACAACCACACACCCAGGGTACCACTTTAGATAGTCCTTGGGTGATTGGCCCAGTTCAAGAGATCCAAATCAATTGTTCCTGTCAGCACCTGGTCTCAAATGGGAGAGTTCAAAATGTCTCTGGCAACTAGATAGCAGGGGTCTGCTGGCAGCTCAAGTATGACTCACTCCAGTGCACCATGGAACCAGAAAGACCCACCCACGAAATGAATTAGTCTGGGAATTTTGATGTCTCCTTCCCCACCTTGCACCTCTGTCACACCCAGTGACTGGTAACCCCACAGGGCTGTGACCCAGTTCCCTCCATTGAGGAGATGTTCTAGGGGGTTGCACCTTCCTGAGTCACAGGGAGATCTATGTCTCTTTGGCAGACCACTGCTCTCTGCCACCATCTGGCAGGGGGAGCTGAGGCCTGACAACCTTGGGTGCTTAATGGCAGCTGGAGCAGTTCATTCAGTTCCAGCCCTGCCCCTGATTGATGTTGCTAACACTTATATTTTCACAGAATTTGTTTCTGTCCAGGCTATATTCCCCTGCAGACCAGGCACTATTCGAGTTCACAGAAACTGCTACTCAGCCCTGGTCTGTGCTGCTGCTTAGAACTGGCGTGTCTGTCTCCACTGCTTTCTGTGTTGGGGCAGGCACAATTAGAGCTCACACTCACCTCTCAATTCCTGCCTCTGCCCACCTGCTTTTGTCTCAGCTATGATC